GCCTTGCTCTGTACTGTGAAGCACGTTCGTGACTCTCCTGTTCGAATTTATTCATCAACATAAACCAATCCTTTTCCGAGTCAATTCGTTCGTTTCGTTCGTTGAATCAACCAAATGACTCTGTCTCTGTGATCATTTCGGTGACTCGAAATGAAAGATTTGTTCATTTTGAACAGGAAAGTCACAAACGTGCATCACAGAACAGAGCAAGGCGAGCATTTAAGCTTGTAAAACTTATACTTTATTTTTTTTTTTTTAATGAGTGATCCTTTCGCTTGATAAGACCCTTATTCATCGTCTGGAATCATTTAAAGCCCTTTGAACAGTTTGCAGTTTGCACTGAAACTGTCTTTTAGACCTTGAACCGTTTGGTTACCAATGAAGTCCATTATATGGAGAAAAATTCTGGAATGTTTTCATGAAAAACCTTAATTTCTTTTCGACTAAAGAAAGAAAGACATGGACATCTTGGACGACATGGGGGTGAGTAAATTATCAGCAAAGGTTTTTTGAAAAGTGAACAACTCCTTTAAAATGATTCGCCCCAAAAAAGATAATTCTGTCATAAATTACTGACCAATCCCATAAGTCTTTCGTTCATCTTGAGAACACAAATGAAGATCTTTTTGATGAGATCTGAGAGCTTTCTGTACCTCCAATGACAGCTACGCAACTACCATTGACGCTTCAGAAAGTTCATAAAGAGATCGTAAAACGAATCCATATGAATTGTTTGCTCAGATTTCATCAAAAAGATCTTCATCTGTGTTCTGAAGAGGAATGAAAAGTCGAATGGGTTTGGAACGACATGAGGGCGAGTAATTAATGACAGAATTTTCACGTTTTCATGAAACTACATAAATAATAAGTTTTGGATACATTTTTCCTCTCCTAAAAAATGAAAGCCAGCTCTCAATGATTCACTGCCATTTCTTCTTGTTTTATAACCTCCGCCGAACCTGTCAGCTGTCCTCTCTCATTAGCCGCTAGTCTGGCTCGTTGGTCGCAAACAGGCCCAAAGTGCCACAGAAATAGCCCCTAATCTCCCCTCAAGCCCCCCACCACATCCGCGAACCCAGCGTCGAGTTGAGGGAAAGATCATTGGTTACCGGCCCTGTCAGAACAATGTCTTGTGAGCGTGACAAAGGACACAAGCCCCTTCATGTGTGATGAAAGATCCGCGCGGCGCTAGGTTTGATTGGACCTGGCAGGACGGCAGTGCAACCTCGCCGAGCCCAGGACAATTAAAGAGATGTGTGACTATGAGCGACCCGCTCCCACAGCTGTCAGTCGGGCCGCATCGGGATTCGTCCATTTAATATTAATACTGAAGAGAGTTAATAAATCATGAAGGGGAAAAAAGACTAGATGACAGAGTGAAATGCATCAGTCAGGTAACCCTTTAGCTTAAGGTCCAATTCTCTTGCTTATATTAGCAAGTATATTACTCGGATATTGGCTGTTTATTAGTATAAAGCACATATTAATCAGTAATTAGGAGCTTATTAAGGCAAAAGTCATAGTTAATAGTGAGAACTGGAACCTTAAGTGTGACAAAAAATGTAAAAAGTCATTTTGAATTTAGCTCACAATTTGCATTTCGCGAGGAAACGACAAGATACAAAGTTACCTTTTTAATTTAGTGACAGAAACAAACACTCTTAGAAGAAATGGTTCTGTTTAGAACCAGAAATGGTTCCATCCCCCGCTTCATATATGGAACTCCAAAATGGTTCAATATAGACATTTTCACAAGATGTAAACAACACTGGTCCAGAAGCACTTCCTGTTTCAGTTTTTTAACACTACATAAAAGCTGGGATAAAATACAACCAAAAGAACATTTAAAACCGAATCAAAAAGTTAAACAAACATCTTTAAGATATTTTCTTTACATGTGAAATAAAGAAAACAGTTACAAACTGAAACAGAAGTGCTTCTGGACCAGTATGTTTACATCTTGTGAAATGGTCTATAGAACCATTTTTTTTTTTGGTAAAAGGTTCTATTGGTCAAGTATGGAAACCCAGGGTTCTATATAGAACCCAGAGGAACCCTTTTTTAAGAGTGTATAGAACCTTTTAGGGGTTCCAAATACCTAGCGCTGATGGAACCTTTTAAGGTTCTATATAGAATCTTTTCTTCTAAGAGTGAAGAAACAGAATTCTGAGAAAAAAAGTTAAAAAAAATGCAAGGAAAAAAAGTCCAATTTGCGAGATATTTTTGAGTTTATGGCCTGGTTTCACAGACAGGGTTTAGATTAAGCCTTAGTTTAACATCCAAGTAGCTTTTATAAAGGTGCCTTGAAAAAAAACAACAATATTGGTGTGCATCTATAGACAAAACAATGACACTGACATATTTTAAGATATGCCAGTGCAAGTTGCTTTCAGTTAAAACAGATCAATAATGCATTTTAGTCTGGGACTGGCTTAAACCTTGGGGGGAATAACTTTCAATTGTGAGATAAGTCAGATGTGTGAGGTGTGAACTTTTCCTTTTAATTCCTTGGAATTCATACGGTGGTCACTTTAAAGAATCTGCAAGACCCTTCAGTCTGTAATTAGTAACCTGAGCTCCACACTGTTAACACGCAGCCACACATTAGTGCTACAAATGCGAAGTTTCCTTATGGGGAAATGACTGTTTACGTGATTGCACTCGAACGGCTGAAAGAAGAGAGCAACATTTGGCTTGATGGGAGTTTACGCGATAAAACAAAACAGCTGCTGCCTTTCCGTCCTGGACCCATAAAAGACATTTGCGGGATACCGTATCAGCGCAGTTGAGACTGATGTGGTCACACCGGGATGAGTATGTGTTTGTGGAATCTCTGAGATGGAAAAGGCCAGGAAAACAACTCGGCAGAAGCGTGTTCCCTACAAAGGGTTCACTTCCAGTCAGTGTGGGGCGGGCCATACAATCTGAAAAAGGTCATTGCGCGCGGCCCGTGGGCTTCTCTTCTGTATTTTGAGCATCCGCCCCAGTGGTGATCCAAGTCCTTTTGCATTTATTCAACTCAAAGCAGCTGTCAGCACCTCAGATGAGATGCAGCCAGTATATAGTAAAAAAATATAAATACTAGGGCTGTCAAACGATTAATCGCATCCGGAATAAAAGTTTGTGTTTACATAATATATGTGGGTGCACTGTGTATAATTATTTTATATATATATAAATAAACACGCATGCATGCGTCTTTAAGAAGAAAATATGATTTATGTATAAAATGTAAACACAAACTTTTATTTTGGATGCGATTAATCGTGATTAATCGTTTTTTCCCCCCCCTCAAATGAAAAGTGACAAATGAAATAACGCCTTAGAAGAGAGATATTCTCGATTCAAACGCCCACGCAATCCAATTCCTAAATGATAACGATTTGACGGTCTATTAAATCTTCGACAAGAACGATCACATTCAGTTGTGAGTCATGAAACCCCTTCAAACGCACAGGATCATTATTTCTGTGCTACAGTATCTCAAATGATCGCAGAAGTACTGGGATAAACGTTTATAGACACCGTCACTCATAATAAAAAGCATGCATTAAAGCAGGGTTGTAACTTTTATGATGAACTTCAGGGATTAACACTCAGATTTGCAGATTACAAGCTGATACAATATTTTAAACCATCTGCACCATGATAGGAAAGGAGAGCCCTCAGCATTGCATTTTACATGCATCTGCACATCAGACAGGTGTTTATCCTATTTTGGGGCTTGGAAGACAATACACCAGTATGAAGAGAGCTCACTTGTGGTTCAAGGACAGATGTAATCCCTGCGTTTGGTCTACTTTTTTGGAGTGTTTAGACTGGTTTCGAGTGGTACTGCTGACCTTGCGGAAAGTTAGTGCATGGTCTGTGCACTTAAACTAAGTAAAACTCTTTGGAAGGGGAGGGTTACAAGCATTACGCTATCCATTTACACATAACGTAATGTATTAAAACCATTCAAATTGAGAAAAGACTCTTAATTTGCTGGTAAACTGTCTTTTTGTATTTGTGTCAATTGTGTCGCTCTTTTTGAGTCTATTCTTTTGTTTAAAGCTCCAACTATCCGTATATCTCTTTTGCACTGTTTAAACTTCAGGTAATAAACTTGCATAATTTCCTAGTCTAGATGAGAGCAGAGGTCATACTCCATGCTGAAACAATTCCCTCTCTAAAAATTTTTTATTCAAGGTAAAAATATTGCATTTACAAAACAACATGTTACAAAACAACCGAATGAGCGTTCTTGCTGTCTACTGCCTACACGAGCTGCTGCCTTTTAAGGCTGCATCCTAACTGACTGTATGAGTGATTTGGCACATTCTAGGCAGAACCTACAGACATGAAATATGTTCTGCATTCAATGCAGTAGATAAAGCAATGGGAATTCTCAGCTCGTCATTATTATTGCAATTCGGTTTGGTGCCGCTAGAGGCGCAGGAATTACATACTACCTTTAAGAAAAAAAAATCTTAAACACATTTTTAAATAAATACTATTACATTAAGTAAATGATAAACAGACTAATTAAGTTATTACATACATCAATATTCATTCATCTGAAGAATAAATAAAAATCAACCTAAATGTAGCTAAAGTAAACTATGTCCATATGCAAATTACATTAAAGCACCAAACTATTCCTTTTTTAAAACGTATCAATATTGAGCAATTCGTGCAGATAGGCTCATTTAGGCTAAAAAAACCTCCCCTATTAATTAATTAATTTATCTTTCTTATTTAAACCCACTACATAAACCTCAACGAAAGCTGCAGTGACATCAATTATTTATAGACAACAAAAATAATAATTATCCGATTCGTACTTCAAACGGAGAATATTTTTAAGATCAACAATGACCGTTTATTGAACGAACTCAAACTCCGCTGTTTGTTTACACTGACTCACGAACATGACAGTAAATTAAAGTCGCTATAAATCCTGAACGAACATGATCTGATCGGATATTTATTCACTGCTCGTACACTAGATTTGCGCTTACCGTGTGTCGTGATCCGTATCCACATGTGAAAGCTCTGGTAATCTCCGTTTGCTGACTAGCTGTGTCTCGTTGGTTTGAGAATGTGAACTGAGTGCCGGAGGACCGTCTGCGGCTCGTGGATGTACCGGGATCATCCCACTACGGTGGGCGGGCAGGTATGAGTGTAAACTGACCCCCCACCACAAACACGACAGCAGAGGGGGATTGTTTGGGGGGATTGACCTGCACTACAACACACAAAAGTGTTTAAACCGGTCGATTTATATCTATATACCGACGACAAGCATTGTCATTGAATTGGATGAGAAACAATATGATCAATTTTTCATAGACACACTTTGTGTATAATTCTCAGGATGGGTTTCACAAACCTCAAAAGTTTCTGAACCTTTCCCTGCTGACTCCCCCACCACACATGCACACACTTGTCCCCCGGTTTTTGTGGTTTTTTTTTAGTAGCATCCTATAGATATTGAGGGGAGCAGACTTCATGTCTAAAAATTACCACAACATTTTGATTTGTCACTGACTAAAAATGATAAAGAAAAGTGAATATAGGTCTGAGAAAAAGCTAATGTGATACATCTGAATTGTCCGAGTACTTTTCAATGTAGTCAATAGCCTATGTTTGTAATGCTTATGCAAAACATCTTGAATCAAGTTGAAAAAGGCTTTTGGCTTTTTGTCAACATATAGTCTTGGGGCAAATTTAATTCACGAGGATACTCAATTACACTCAGCATTATAAATCATCTAATTATAGACTACTACTTTTTGTTTTGCACAAATTTGTATGGTGAATAGATAACTGCAGATAAATGGATAACCATGATAAGCTATCAGCAACGGCTCCTCCTCCAGAAAACGTTATTTAAGAAGCTCTACGCTGGCTGACCGTCTACGTCTCAGCATGTTGTTCATGCAAGTAATGAAGAGAATGTTAAGATTAGATTATAGTGTTTAATGTTTGGTGAACCTTGGCTCCATAATGTTGATTGCATAAAGGATACCCTGCAGGGGATAATCAGGAAATCTGGGGTGGGAGACAGACATGTCAAACTGGGAGAGAACAGATAATAGTGCATGGGATGCATGTACTAATTTCGAATTCCATAATGAATTCCTAATGGAGGATACATGGGTTATTGTTACTACAACAGTGTTGGGTAAGTTACTCTAAAAAAGTAATTAATTACTAGTTACTAATTACCTCTTCAACAGTGTAATTAGATTACTGTACTAATTACTCTCTCTAAAAAGTATTTAATTACTATAATTACTTTCAAAATCCCATATCAATCTTAACCAGCTGAATAATACAAGGATATACATGAATGTGTTTTAATTATTCTACTATAAAATTGCATCCTTAAACTGACCAAGGTGGAGAAGGTTACATTATACAAACATACTTTTTAGCATTTTGATGTTAAACCCACTATTGTTTTATGTCTGATCTCATGACATTTCACACTTTTTTCATACATATTTTACAATAATTCAAACGAATTTGTACGAGTGCTGTCATAATATTTAGATTCCTCATAAAATCCCTGTGAGATCAGATCTATACACAGTATTTACCTCAATTACATCAGAAGTAACTGTAATTAAATTACAGATAAATTAAGAGTAATCCCTTACTTTACATTTTTAAGGGAAAAGTAATTAAATTACAGTAACTAATTACTTAGTAATTAGTTACACCCAACACTGTACTACAACCATAAAACTATTTTCGTAACTCGAAATATGATAAACGCTAACTAATCTAAAATAAAACATATATAAATGTAATGTTTTCAAGTGTTTTCCAAAAGTTGCTTTTCCTCACTGAAACATTGGAAAACTCTTAAATCATCTTAGTTCGTCTGCACAAAACGCACTTTTCCACGACGCCACTTTTCCATTATTTTTCAATGTTAACGTGTGCTAGACGGGCGTCTTGTGTCTTTTGCAGGGTCTCGCACATGATTTGGCATTCTTAAAAACAATTAGTTTAAGATCCTATCAGCCATAGGTTATAGGACAGAACTTTGTATTTAATTTTTTTAAAATGCATCTCTAGACATTTTTTTTTCTGCTTCTCGTGTTTTTAACAGCAAAATTGGTGATCTGTGCATGCATACAACTTCAAAAAAAGCTCATTGAGATGATCCCGAGAGACCAGATGAAGAGTTCAGATGCAAAAGCCTCTAAATGCCATTTGAAATTTTCTTCTTTAATGACGATTTTTATCAAACTTGTATATTTAAGTTCAGTAATTTCACTTAAATTACAATTAATAGGTAATTATCACTGCCATTTAAGTGAAATCACTGAACTTAAATATACAAGTTTGATAAAAATCATCATTCTAGAAGAAAATTTCAAATGGCCCTTAGAGGCTTTTGCATCTGAACTCTTCAGATATAATAAAGTGTAATGCTATTCTATCATTACACTTTTATGAGTCATTTTATTAGCAAAACATGTCCCACCACTTACTGGTGTGTCCATTTCGCACTCAAAATCGCTATTCATGGTCTAAAACGCAATTGCCCTCACGTTTTGCTGCAGCAGGACAGCAATTTTCTGTCATCTTTGCAGGAATGTCAAATAAAAATGAATAGCAAGCACGATGTTGGTATAAACATACGTCACACATTAACATACATAGACATGCATTAATCCAACACAGTCTCATGAAAATGCGTATTTATACCACGAATGTCATTTCTATTTGCGTGCAAATGCTACGCACTAAAAAACCCTGGGGTAGGTTGGGGAGTTCGTACTTATTATACGGCAAAAAGTGCGTATCAAATGCACGCGAAAAACGCGTACCATATACACGCAAAAACTGTTTTTGGCGTATAAATGCCACGAGAAATGACATTCGTGCTATAGATACGAACTTTCATGAGATCGGGCTCATTAATCCTGATACAGCTTCAAAACGCTTTCCATCCACACTAATATTTTCTGAAAGTTTCTCTACCTCTGAAATGTCGGAAAACGTTAACTTTGCTTACTGCGCATGCGTAAAACCTCATAAAAGCAGATGGAACACGCATAATAAAGTTTGTTAACACTTTATTTTACCGTGTCCTTGTGACACGTTACATGTAGTTACTATTGTAATTACTCTGAAATATGCATAACCCTAAACCGTGCCCTAATCCTAACCCTATAGTAAGTACATGTTGTTAATTATTACTACTCAGTACTTATAATTACACAGTAACATGGAAACCTTAAAATAAAGCATGTTACCTAAAGTTCTCAAGCTATTCTTCTGGCAGGATAATTTTATTTAGCATGACCCCCTCTGTTTTAGGTCTAAAACAGCAATGGAACAGGACAGCAAATGCGAGTACATTTTGTCATTTTTGCAGGACTGTGATAGAAATAACGGTATAAACGTACATATCAATATAAGTCACATGACTTTACATGCGTTTTCACAGCCCACTCCCTCATAACAGTATACCGTAGACTGTAGTGATGGGCAAAGCACATACGCCACGTCTCGTTGTTCAGAGGTCCAGTTTCTCTGCAGCATCTCAGTCCATCTGAAGGGGAAACCCAACACCATTTAACCCCGGTCCTGATACGGCTGACCCTTGGCCTGCACCCGGGGGACCCTGGAAACCAGACTTCCTGTAGGCCACCATGTGTGTGGGTGACCTGTTTGACGCCATCGCTGGCGTCGTCTCCCCAAGGGATTGAATAATCTTTTTAACGTCAGCAGGTGACGAAATCCTCGTGTAATTTGCGGTGCCAGACAGCTGTTTGGTCTCTTATTATCGAGTAGCGTTAATCTCTTAGACTGTGTCGCGATCACGTACGGGCCGGTTCCAAAGTCTCAGTGGGAAAGTCCTTTCAGAATGATGTTTGACATGGCCTGAGGGGCCACCACTGGCTGATAAAGTGGTAACTGCACTCTGTGTTCTTGTGATGTCCCAATAGGCAGTTTGTGATAAGATTAGTATTGAACCAATATGAGATTTTCAATGGCTGATATCACCTGGTATTAAGATGCGTTTCGGTCGATCACAAGTAGACGAGGGAGACACCCATTTACACCTGGTGTTTTAACCCGTCTCTTTTGTCCACGTTTAAACACTTCTGTCCTGATTACTTTGAGGAGAGGGCCTATGGGCGAGTAACTGTATGGGTTTTTCAGATTTTCACGCCCTCAAACACGATGCCACGATGATCTAATTGGCCATTTGTGAACGGTTATCAGCCATTGAGAATGAGCTTAAAATGACCAAAAATTTCATGATTAATCTAGCTGAGTAATATCAGTATGTCACTCGATAAGACAAGTAAGTGATATTTAATAATTTACACTTGTGTGTATTACTGCTGTGAGCGTGCACACATGCACACACTCCGTCCAGATTAATGACACACCTTCAGGGTAGGAAATCCCAGTAAACCCAGCTTCCTGTCTGAATGCTGGGACCATTTGCGTCTTTGCATTTGAGGCCCTATACGTTTGAAGCATACGCTGGCTATTAGACTAGAGGATCGAGCACGTAATCACATAGACCGATTGATGATGTCCGGATGGGGTTCATTTACTTTTGCTAAACAGCCTTTTAATCAGTGAAACAGACAGTCTTACCTGAGCATGTACCCGTTGCTCCGGATCTGTGCACACACCGTCTGTGACTTTATAGAGTTGGTTTGGAAATGTGCCAGCCTACTTGAAGAATTAATGACTGAAAACCAAGTCACATTTCATTTAAAAAAAAAAAAGAAAAGATGAAATTATGTTGCATAAAGGTGTGGTGTGGACAATGGTCCACTAATGTGTTAATGCTAATTTTATGAACATATGTTGTCAATGCCAAAATAAGCTTTAGTTTCCGAATGATTTGAATTGGATACGAATGATTTGTTTTGAATGATTTGATTGATCTGTAAATGACCAAACCGAAATAAATGAAATGAAAATGAAAAAAATAAAGAAAATCAAGCATTGTGAATTTTTGTGTTGTGACGTTTCACATTTCGTTTTTTTGATCAGTTCTTGGTCAGTTTTGACAGGTTTAGTGAGACCATTTGTAGTCTTTTTACCGGTTGGTTTGGATTGGGTATCCCTGTAT